TAACCTCCAAGGACACACAGATAGGCTTTGCTCACACCAAGATAGATTTTGCATATTTTTCTCATTTTGGGGGTTTGGGTATATCATATGTTTTGCATTAGTGTAGAAGACACATGGGGAAAATATCAGTAGGTCTCATGCTGGTTTGAAGTTGATTTTGAATTCTTAGTAGTTTACCCTATAGATTGTTATGTAAGGAGAGGTGAAAGGGACACTGTTTGAAGTTGATTTTAAATTCTTAGTTTACAGTATAGATTGTTACATAAGGAGAGGTGAAAGACACACTGGTTTGAAGTTGATTTCAAATTCTTAGTAGTTTACAATATAGGTTGTTACATAAGGAGAGGTGAAAGAGACACTGGTTTGAAGTTGATTTTAAATTCTTAGTAGTTTACAATACAGATTATTACATAAGGAGAGGTGAAAGAGACACTCAGTTTTGGATTTTCATGAGCAAGTTGCTGGAGTTTAAGTTGAGTAAGCTGATTGCACAGATGGACTAATGTGGAGAGAGAGTTGTAATTTTCTTTTGTTTTTGTCAGTGCTGTGAAGCCTACACTAATTATGGTCTAGGAGACCCAGAGCAGGTACTAGGGCCTTGGCTAACTTTCCTATGCAATTGTAACTATTGTGTGTTTTCCTTATTCGCTTTGGTTTCTTAGTTAAGTGACAGGATGAGAAGTGCTTTAAAAGCTGAAATATATTTTCAAAAAGTAACAGCAACTGATAAAGAGAAGAAAAGAAAATCCAGAAGCAACCTCATCTTTCCCTTTTGACCTTCCCTGTCTCATTCCACCCTGACCTTGTGACTCTGCAGTTTAAAAATCACTGCAGCTGAACAGACCCAGTCTTTCCATTTCTAGGAAGTCATCAAAGCAGGGGAAAAAATCTAATCCCTCTCCTAGCAGCTGATTCTTTTCTTTGCTGGAGGAGATAACAATACTTAGTTGATTATGTGTCCAATCTTGGGGAGAAATAACCTTAGAATTATGCTTGAAAAGAAGGGACATTTCTGATAAGAAATAGTGGCATTATGCATGATACCAGCACAAAAGAAAGGATTGCATAATCAGAACTCAATATGGATCTCCTCTGACCTTTCATGCTGGGTTGAAAGGAAAGTCAGTATCTTAAATGCTACATGGGCATCTTTTTGTCTTAATCTAATCAAAATGATGTGCTGCCCTATGAAATGACTGACAGAATTTGACACAATAGGTTTGCTATAAATTTTATAGCTAACAACCTTTGAAAAGATGATACTCTTGCTGTAATCATAATTTCTAACATACTTATATTCGTTTTTTTTTTTTTTAGGTAATACTCTACTTTGGTGATGGAAAATCAAGCCAATCAGTACTAATTGGTATGTAGATGGGTTATTTAGTATGAAAGAAGTAGTGTTTAAAATATCATTTTTATTGACACATACTACTTAATGAATGACTAGGACTCTCTTACCCTCTTTGTACATAATCATAATAATACTCAAATAATTTCTTCATAATAACATTATGACAAAAGAATTTACCCTACTTTACAGATGAAGAATTGAAGGCCAGACTGGTTGACTCCTTCTATTGTCACATATGGCCAAACCTGATTGTTTCAAAATTTGATGTGGAATTATTGTGCTTGATAGCTTTACTGGGGTTCTGATCAAATGCAATGGTCAAACTATGAGGTTAAAGAGTAAGAAAACCAACTCAAATATATTATTTGGGGGCAAGGGGAAAGGTCACTTTCTTCAGGTCTGAAGTAGGAAGGTCGGGTGCTCTGGGCCAGATGATTCTGCAGCATGAGAAACTATTCTGGGTACTATGGGATGTTTACTGACACCCTTGGGTGCCACTCATGAAACACCAGTAACAACAGTCATTTTCTAGCTTGACAAACAAAACAAAACAAAACAACAACAACAAAAAAAAACAAATGTCTCTAGACATTGTCAAACTTCTCTGGGAGACAAACTGCCCTGTTTTGAGAACCACTGTACTAGGAGCTGCCTTGGCATTCTTCTGTTGTCAAAAACTGCACTGTGCCCACCATCAGCCAGTAGGATGGACTTTTCATTATTGAAAAGTGCCTATCCCGTGAGCTTTTCTCTGCTTCCATCTGGAAACAATTGAATTTAAAACTTTGTAAGGCTCCTTTAGGTTTCATTTATTTAAAATCTCCATTGATTCAATCTTAAATTTATCATTTAAATGCAAATTAGTATGAAAAGACCAGGTAGATGAAGGTGAAAAGGGATCAAATGTTATCTTATTAAATCAGTCTTGCATTAGACAATTGTTTAAACTCATTTCAAACCCTAGTCTTAGGAGACAGTTTTATTTAGTATTCTTTCTGTTATCTGTACTTAGGATACAATAGTTGGTAAATCATGAAAAGGATTTAACAGTACTCTCATTTGTCAAATTCAGAAAGCCATTCCATTAGGCTGGCTGTTTGCTGTCTACCAGCCTAAAAATTCCAGCTATGGAATACTTGATCACTGGTAATAAATCGACAGTTCCTAGATTCCATGCTTATTGACTTTCAGAGATTACAAATAAAATCTAACATTATAAATATCATCTTCTGAGGAAGAAGAGTCTTTAATTAAAAAATAGTCTATAAACAAATATCAGACCTATGATTAAATTGGGAACACGACTCAGGATTTTCCTTGGAGTGGGCTACAAGCAAATTCCAATGGTGGAGGTCACTTGTGTTCTATCCTTGGAATTAAACTGAACTCAAAAACATTAAGATGTCAGTGACCTAGTTAATTAATGTTATGTATAATAAGTACAGGTGGTTTAAGCACATTCTTCATCTCCAAGATATCAGCGTGAACTATTTAATGATTCCCATATTACATACTATTTCATAAACATTACAGCAGATGTTAAGTGAAAACATTATTTTATCTCAAAAAGTTCAAACTTGGAAATTGAAGATATGCTCATAATTATTCTGTTTATGGCAGAAAGCACTGCAATAGCAAGCCAGGTGAAGTTACATTTGGACCAGAGATGCTTCATTCCACTGAGACTGCTACTAAAACCTGGAAGAGAAAATTTCTAAACAAGAAAAACCCAGTAAACCTGTAAAATGTATGATGCCCAGACATAGGAGAAACCCAGGATTCAGTCTTCCAAAAATTCTCTTCAGGAGATTTCACTGAGATGAAAATCTGTCTTCAAGATGAAACAGTGTATAAGGCTGTGCAGGAAGTCTTTTATCCTGCTTGACTTAATGAAGATGGGTGCTGGAGGGGGGTTGCTCATACAGGGAAGTACACTGGGGTAAGTGGTACATGGGCATGGCATTAAGTAATCTGCGTCACTTGAGAAAATTACTCCTCTTTTCCCTACTTTTTCTTATCATTTTGATTACTTGGAGGGGAAAAACATCTCAAGTTGTTGTTGGTAGGTAATTAACACATTTTTGAAGTTGTTTATTTCTATTTTAAATCAAAGAGAATGTGGATCTCACATCCAGAGCCTTCATTTAGTAGTATAAGCTACAGTTTAATAATCAGTTTTATTTTATATTTAAGGTCAGGTACCAGCAAGTACTATTGAGTAAGCTGAAATTAAGTCTTCTTTTTAAGTAAATTTAAAAGAATAAGTAAATTTAGAGAAATGTAAATTAATTAAGCATACAATTCTCATGTATAGAAAAACAGCCTGTGTGGTTATCAGGTAATAAAGTTTGAGCATCCCTACTGTTAACAGAAAGGGCATCTAAGCATGGGTGATACATTTAGGGAGTCAATTTTTGTCTCTCATCTGTTAGCTATGTAATTTTGGGAGGATATTACCATTCCCTTCTCCAGGCCCGTTTCTCTATGTCTTAGGAAGCCTATCAAGTGCTATAGAATTACTCCAAGAGCATAAGCAATGAGAACTGTTTCCCTGTAAATGTACCTTGTTGACATCCAGACGCATCTTTTCATTGTTGGCATTAGCAGCTTTCTCAGCTGCTTTCTTTTGACGCTGGGGTCCTCTCCCAAAGAAGATGTAGTTGACCAAAGCATATTCCAGAAGGGCCATGAAGACAAAGACAAAGCACCCCATTAGGTACATGTAGATGGCTTTTACATAGGGGATTTTAGGGAGAGTCTCCCTGAGGTGGGTGTTAATTGTGGTCATTGTTAGGACAGTTGTAATACCTGGAAAAAAAGAAAAGAGGAGAAATTAGAGTAATAACATTCATGTTTCCTTACTGTTCTCACAAAAGCTGGAAAAGCCAGTAGTATTTGTTTATGTATACTGATATATTTGATGGAGATTTATCATGCAGCAGCCTAATGGCCCTCCCTGGATATATGCATAAGTTCACTTACAGTGAACATGAATTGTTCTGAGAAATTTCCTTTAATTCTATTTTTCCATTTGTAGCTATTAATGAAGTTTGGGGTTAGAAATATGACTTAAATATTATGATATACATGTATGTCTTTGGCTAAGTTAGTATAGAGATGACCCTAGTTCAGATTCCTGATGTGTCAGGGACAAGACTGTAGATTATAGGGGTGCTTTCTGAAGAATGAGTGAGTGTTTCCCAGGCAGCTGGAGACTGGAGATGAAAGGTTACCCAAGACTACAGAACATCATAGGTGAACAAAATTCATGTAAAGGTTGGTTTTGAGAGGGTTTGAGGGGGCTCTTTAACACGATTTCAAGATCTTCATAGATCTCTTAGAGAAGAATGGAGGTCAAATGAGGGCCTGCTAAATGAAAGAGAACACCAAATGCTGGCCAGATACAGACTGGGAAGCACAAATATGGGCACATTGAATTTAGGAAAATCACTCTGGTAGCAGTGTGAGGAATGGAGGGACACAGTATAAGGCAGGGACAAAGATTCCCAGTTAAAAGGTTTCCATGATGATCCATATAAACAATTAAAAGTGAAAGTAAAACTTCAGAAATAGTTCTGTGATCTATGAATACATTATACAGATGAAACACAAATTAGTGCAAACATTTAGAAGCTGAAAGCAGAGGGTTAAAGAAACAGGAACCAGAGTACTCTTGTTGAGTTGGACAGCTGAACACATGACACACAGATGTGAGACACAGACAAGTTATAGGTCCTTATTGGAAATGTCACTCTGGGTCAGGCTCTAATCTCTTGTCCAGTTAGCAGGGATCTCTAACAGTGGAGAGCAATTAGTCTCAAAGCTGTCACTGGAAGGTAAAATCACTCGGAGTTCAGAGTCCTCTATATGATACACTCCAGCTTTGTAGCAAAATAGTGATGAGAAAACAGAAAAAACACAGAGGCAACAGTCACACAGATGGGAAGTTGTACTGACACCATCTGAACCCAGATGCCATGAACCTTCACCTTCCCAGCTACCCTAAATAACATCTCAAAACTTTAATTTCATTTTCTAAAGACTTCTCTGGTGACGTTTTCTCCTTTAATTCTGTCTCCTTAATGATTTTAATTTTGTTATTAGTAGAACCTTATGAGTAGTTACATGAAATTACTCTTGTCCCCAGTATTACTTTCAATAAGGTGTTTTCTGTCATATTTCACATGCTCTTTATTGTTTGTTTTGAAATTCTTTCAATTTTCTTTCATTCCTTGACATTTCTCCTACAGGTAATACTATATTATGCATTTACCAAACATGGCATTGCTGACTATTAATCATTTGAAAATAGTCATGTACCTAATAATAAGTGATTCAAATACGAAGGTATTTTAGGCATTTCTGTTGAAGCATTGATAAGTTACTTCTTTGTACAATAGATACTAGAATTTTATTTTATGAAAGCAGGGTTCATTGCTTCCAATTCTTAATTAGTGTTTTATGAACATTTATCTTTGCATAAAACAGCTCAGAGATATGACTACGTATCTATCTACCTTTCTCCAGTGGCTCTTTCAATGCTGAGGGGAGACCACCACAAAATTACTAAATAGAAATTGTGTCTGTGGTTAGTCTACACAGGCAGTTAATTACTCTAAGAAGACACATGACAGAGACATAATTTATTCCTGGTAGTCACTGCTCCTGCCTCCCACTCTCACCATTGATCCATCTCAATCTAACCTCGCAGCATTCAATACTACTCCACACAGAACTGAAATTGTATCCTATCATTTACATATTAAGTGTCTCTACATCATGAGGAATAAAACCAAAGCTTTCAACCACACCTCTAAGTCCCTTCATGACCACTTAGTCTACCATCACCTACTGTCTTTTTCCTATGACTTCTCTCCAGTCTTCTGCAGGGTCCCACTCATATTCCTGTTTGTTCCAACCCCTGAGCTTTTGTCAGGGGCTTGGACTATCACCACTCAGATATTTTTCTGGATCATTATTTTCTTTAAGTCTTTTCTCCTGAAGCAACTGTTGAGTGAGGTCAGCCTTGATCATGGTAACACTCTCAAGGCATAGATACAAAGTGTTCTTGCTGGTATCTGTCAACTCATGGGATGTTATGTTTTGTAGGTCTTCACTTTCTTATTTTCTATTTTTTAAAAAATTGGTATCCAGAGTTTTAGGTTTATTATGACATTTTCAAACATTATTTGTATTGCTCGTTTTCCATCTTCTCCTCCAGTCCTCTGTCCCACTGTTACCTATCCACTCTACTACCCAACTTTCTGCTTTCATATATACTCTGTCGCCCTCTTTCTTTTCCTCAGCAACTCTTTTTGTCCCCGAATCATTACATTTCCAGCTTCATTTACACTCGTGCACATACTTGTACATATAAACATTATAAGTTATGATTTTCTTTCTTTCTTTCTTTCTTTCTTTCTTTCTTTCTTTCTTTCTTTCTTTCTTTCTTTTTGGTTTTTCAAGACAGGTTTTCTCTGTGTAGCTTTGGAGCCTATCCTGGCACTCACTCTGGAGACCAGGCTGGCCTCGAACTCACAGAGATCCGCCTGCCTCTGCTGGGATTAAATGCGCGTGCTACTAATGCCCGGTGAAAAAGTTATGGTTTTCAAAAGTTAAAAAGGTGACATTTTTCTTTCTGATAACATCACTTAATATAATTTCCAGATTAATCAAATTTTCCTCAATTTTTTTTACAATTAAATAAAGTTCCCTGTGTATTAGGATCTCACCTTCATTATGCATTCTTTTCTTAGTAGTCATTGAGGCTGCTTCCATGTCCTTGCTGTTAGGACTCTTACCTATCTTTTCCTGTTAGAATGTAACTTTCAGAAAAGGAGAAATGCATTTTCAGTACCTCATTGTGTCAGCACATGTTAGATGCTAAGCAATTGTTTTTGGATGCAAAATGAATGGTTTTCATGCCAGTGTAATGACTGAATTGGGATCTTATGATGAAGTCAAACAATCCCTTATTTTAAAGGGAATAGTCAGAAATGTAAATAGTAAAATCTGTGCAAGAGGTCATACAATTTATGTTACTTAAATATCATAAAAATGTTTATGAACTGTAATTTATTCACATCTGGTGTTATGACAGAAAAACAAATCAGGCATAAGATGAACAATTCTACAGTGGATGTCCCAGTATTTTGACTCTTTTGTCTCCTGTCTTCTACATCCTGCCTTGAAGCATGAATAAACCCTCAGAAAAAATTTGCTTATACATTTGTTATATAGCAAATCTCCTTCCTGGGGTGGGGGATAAAGGAAGCATTTCACAGGAGAAGAAGCATGGAGACAGACTGAACAATTATGCAAGCATTATTATGTGAAATACATTTTGATGAGACTATCAAACTGATGAAACCAATTTCATTACCAACAGCTCTGCCTTTAACTAATTTTGACATGGTAAAACTTTAATTTGTGTTTAATTGATTTAACGCTGAATCAGATGATCATCAAAGACTCACAGCTGAACTCTTGCAATGGGAAAAGTCCAGTCTTAATTGGGTAACCCAAAATTCTGGGTGAGGAAAGGAAAGTTCATGTTACACACACACACACACACACACACACACACACACACACAAGAGCAAAGGAAAGACAGGGAAGAGGGAGATAGAGGACATGCAGAGAAGGAGGAGAGGGAGACAGGAAATGGAGAGAGATGACTCAATAGTTTGCCAATGGCCTACCTAATGCAACTCGTGCAGCAGAAGCATCATAGTTAATCCAGAAGGAGACCCAAGAGAGGATGGTAATCAGAATGGACGGCATGTATGTCTGCAAGATGAAGTAGCCAATGTTTCTCTTCAGCTTAAAGCTGAGGGACAATCTGGGGTAAGAACCTAGAAAGGCAATTTGAGAGCATCATCATTATCCATCAATATCTATAGGGTAAGGCCCATAAAAACTTTGTACTTCTTCCCTAAATGTAGTTTTAGCTACTGGTGAGGAGCATAGTTTTCTTGTAAATCCAGTTTGAGATCCCATGTGTTTTAATGAGCAGGAGGACTCAAGCGTGGAATATATCCTGTTCTTACAAACAACTAAAGAATCCTTGTTCTTCCTGCTCAGCCTCATATATTACATCAAAGGCATTCATTCTCTGCAACTGTGAGGACAATGCAATTTGGAGCAGTTACTTGGTCCCCTGTTTCAATTCTTTCTTACAACATTTAGCCTGTATTTTTTTTTTTAGCATAAGAATAAGGCTGTAGGCTCTAATGGCAGTAAAAGCAACTTCAGAAACCACAGGAGGCATCTTCCATTTGTGATCAGCACCCAAGTAGCTGCATGGGTTTTCACAGTATACAGCCTTTTCTTTTCTTATCAATTTAATTGCTTGTGTTATAGTCTAAAGCAGTGGTTCTAATACTATGAGTTACAATTCCTAGAGGCATCAAAAGACCCTTTCATAGGGGTCACCTAGACCATTGGAAAACAGACAGAAGTTGACATGACTATTCAGAAAAGTAGCAAAATTACAGCTATGAAGTAGCAATAAAAATAATGTTATGGCTGGTTCCCACAACATGAGAGGCACTTAGGAAGGTGGAGAAACACGAGTCTAAGGTAAAGAAATCACTCAAGAAAATGTAGAACATTACCACTTTTAAATAAGGTTTATGGGATGTAAGGAATCAGTGCCATCCTAAGGACATAGCTCTTAGTATACACTAGGTTTCCAAAAAACCCAATCAACAAAACACCCCATCCCAATATCAAACAAAACAAGTTTCTTAGATTTGAGTCCTTTGATTGTGAAACTCTGGGGAGTTAACATTACAAAGAATACATACAGCAGTGTACAGTCTTGGAGTGTAAAAGGTTCACATTGTAAAAGTCAGGAGAGACAAAGAAGTCCTTTACACCCAGTTATAGGGATTTGGAAACCTCAGACTTATGGAAAGCTTCTGGGCTGTTTTTTCCACCTCTCTTAAGCTAGAGCCAACTTTGTATTTTCACTAAGTCAAAACACAGCTTTTGCTCGAAGTGGTTTACAGTTCTACAAGTTTCTGAATCCTTAGCAGAAAGTCGATTCTCCAAATCTACAAGAGATAGGGTAAGCTATTTATGTGACTATTGGAATAATTTCAATAAGAAAACAGCAAAAGGAATATTCCAGTAAGCTTATTACTTCTACTGAAGCAGTTTCTAGAAAATGAATGCCTTCCTTCATCCTTTGTAGGTGAGGTCATGCATCCACCCACAATATCACAGATGTATGAAATAAGGGAACCAGGTCATCTCAACATTTGGAATGCCTTAGTTTAAAAAGAAGGTGGAGCTAATAAAAATCCCATCATATAAAGAAAATGTGGCTTTGTAGGCTACTGTCTTTAGAGGATGCCATGCTTTAGTAATAGGTTCTATATGAACTGTCCTTTGCAAACTATGATTGGAGAAAATGTGCTAAAATACCAATCTGATCCAACTCTTCCTTCCTCCCTCTTTCTATCATCCCTCTTATCTTTGGCAAATGAGAAGTGAGGAGAAGGTCTGTTCTCTATTTTATATTTGCTTCCAGAATATACCTGTGTGTTTCTGAATGGCACAATGGGGCCACTTGGAAAATAGGAGTTGCAACATGGCTTGCATATTGTTGGTTCCTAGGATACAGACCCAAGAAAAGGAATCCTGAAAAAATATGATGAAGTTTCTTTTGCTTAAACCCTTCCCTTTTGCTACAAACCTGTGGAGAAAACCACCTTCTTGGTGATAAGTTTATAATCTACGATGGAGAACTGAGGAAGCTCAATCTTCGTCACCCCTGTGACTGCATTATCATCACCACGCCAGTAAAACTCAATGTCGTCAGTTGTGTATCCATCTGTAAGAGGAAACACACATGAGTGCACAAAACAGTAAAAAACACAGCTTTTTCTGAAACCCTGTGTAGCAAATGGCCTCTGTATTTATCAGAACCTGCAATAATAGTATGATATGTGAATAGCAATCTAAGCATTTTCAAGTCTACTGAAACACTTCAGTCTCACACAACGTCATAAGGGAGGTTTCATTAGACCCACAGAGATGTCAAAGGCTGAGGAAAATAGCATAGCATCTTCCTCTCTGTTGTAGGAAGTAGTGCACATGAGGTTCAGATGTAATCTATGTGACTGTGAATCTTCTCCATGTATGAAACATAATCACATTATCACATCACCCTATATCATGAGTAAGGGATAATAAAAGCAGAAAAATAAAGTATTCAAGTGGTTAGTTAGTGTAGTGCTGAATGCCATCAAATATTCCCCTCTAATATAGAATATTTGAAGTGTAACATATTGGGTTTCATGTCAGTAAGGAAGTCATCATGAAGAAATGAATAGTTTTCCAATATTCATGTACCACATCTCCCCAAAACATCTCTGTTTTTCCCACTGAATATTTCTAAACCCTCAAAAATTCTACAGAGGCTAGTAGTTTCTTTTAGGTCTGAATGGATAATGTTCCTTAAAAATGCACAGTACATTCATTTAATAAATTAGTGCTAACATTTTATCTGAATGGATAACCTTCCTTAAAAATGCACAGTACATTCATTTAATAAATTAGTGCTAACATTTATTTAAAAATAATTTGTGGGACCCACAGGAAGTTCATCATTGGATATTCTCAGGTGAAATAATTCTGTATAATGAGGACATACTTTTACAATGATACTTCTAAGCCCCGAATCTTAACATATGAGCACAGAAACAAAGAATGCAATGAATATCACATATTAGACTGTAAACAGTGTTTACAGAGATACAAGCAACAGAAATCAGTGTATATTAACAATCAATAGATTCATCTAACAGTGCTCCAAACATATCCCTCAAGCAAATGCATGCACCATGTCTTTACATATGGCATGTGAAGATTTAACACATTCTGTCTTTAAAAATATTTTGTCTGGATAGCAGAATGTTACAAGTCTGAGAACTGGTCCCTAAATTGCAAAATCAGCAAAACAAATTAGAGACTGTTTAGGTTCCTTGCCTTTGATCTGTTATTAAATATTGTGGCACAGATAACCAGAATACAAGTCTTTTAACACTTAAAATAGATCATGATCAATAATCCACCTCTCTCTTTCCTGAAAATGAAGGAGTTAAATCTCTAAATATCAAAAGTAAATAAAGTAAAATCTATCATTTAAAACATTCCCTGTGTGTGTTTATATGTACAGGTTTCTGTGTGAATGCAAACATACACATGTGGTGCACATGTGAAGGTCAGAGGACCAACACAGGCATTGGTCTTTTAATGGGAGATGTCTTTCTGTATATATGTTTCTCTTACTGGTTGATGAATAAAACACTCATTAGCCAGGCAGGGAGATAGGTGGAGCTACCAGACAAGGAGAAGGCTGGGGAGAGAGGAGAGAGAGGCCTCTGAGAGACACCTTGCTGCCAAAGTAGTAACATGCTGGATTATGTGTAAGCCACAGCCTCTTGGCAATACATAGATGAATAGAAATGGGTTTATAATTAAGAGAGAGCTATCCAGTAAGAGGCCTAAGCCATTGGCCAAGCAGTTTATACTTCATAGAAGCCTCCGTGTGATTATTTGGGGCTAAATGACTGTGGGACCTGGTGGGACAGAAACCTCCATCTTCAGTCCTTGTCTTCTACCTTGTCTGAGATAGGTTCTCTTGTTTGTTCTGTCATATGGCAGACTAGCTGTCCAATGAGCATCTTGGGATTCTTCTGTGTCTGATTTCTCACTTCCATAGGAGTGCTGAGGGTACATACATCACTACTACATCTACCTTTACATAGGTTCTGAGGACTAGAACTGACATTTCCAGGCTTGCATAGCATGTTTTACCCACTGCCATCTCCCCATGCCAGAAAAAAAATATTGTGATAGCAATAGGATATTTTCCATTTTCTGAATAGATTACAGTTCACTTCAGATGATGGTGAATTTAAGGACATCTGAAGTTCCATCCATTCATAACTGCATATACATTTCTATTTGATGCACAAAGACAGGTTTTAAAATACAGGACTTAGCATTAGTGTGGCTCCGTCCACAGTGTAGGATTTTGTGAACTTTTACAATTTTTTTTTTACTTTAAAACACCATGAACTATATTTAAACATAATTTTGGAGTTTGAATTAATTATACTTTATTAGTACAAGGAATGGAGATCTTTTTAAATGGAGTGTCTGTGTTCACATAAAACTTAGATTTGAAAGTAATTTCAAGATTTTACGTACATTCTAGTGGCACAATATCCTAACAAGTAGCGTGTCTCTCTCAAAAGACAAGGGCATTTTTTTTTTTCAATATTTCACTATTCCCAATGTTAGGATTTCATGGTCCAGACTGGTATCTCAAATGCAATCTAATTTATTGTTTGGTTTTTATACAGCTATGTCAGTTATGAGATAGTTCAGTCTTTGATAAAACAATTTACCATAAGAGAAAGGGCAATAGTTCCTAGAAGCAATCAACACAGGTACTTAGAAATGTATCCTAAAGTTGGACTTGTCATACATAATCATGAATGGGGGTATTTGTGAAACAAGAAGGCACAATTCTTATGCTGGGGGAGAGTTTAAGAAATAGTAATTACCTCTTATGGATCTAGTCAAGGGCTGTGAGGCAGATTCTAGACACTATCCCTTTTACTGAGATCCAAAACCTCAAAGACAATGAATCTGGGATTATCATCTCATGAGCATAGAAATCAAGATGCTTGATATAAGGACTTGTTTTTGCTCTGAAGTAAGCATCTTGGATAACTATATTTTGGGTGGAATGTGAAAACTTTGAGAACCACTTGTCTAGCACACAGAAATGATGATAATAACAACTACAACATAATAAATGTATTAAATGTGGCCTTTTATTCCCCTAGGAACTCAAAATAAAAATAATTTCTTATATCAATAATTATAGTTATTTTTAGGGAAGGAGTATTTAATAACATTGTTTTAAGTTTTGACTGCCCATATTGTGAATGAATTATATTTATCCTAATATGAGGGCAGAAAAAAACTACCACTATGAAAGATTACATGATGTACTTAAAGTCACTTATCTGGCATGTGACTGAGTAAACAATAGTTGCTATTTTGCCCAAAGATTGCAGTCTCCCACTGTACAGGCCTGCTAGGGCACATAAAACAAGCAATATGTTAAAAAGAGGCAAAGTGCCCATTTTGTAATCTAAACAAAGAGTAAACAACTTCAAAGCAAATTTCCCATATAAAGGACTCAGGTGAGCTAATGAAGACCACTTCTACCTTTCCAGCTTCCTCTCCTCCCTCCCTTCCTCAGTGCTGATCATCTTCTCATTCATCAATGTGAATCTTACACATACATAGACACAGGAATTAGAAAATGGAAGGTATTTCAGCAAGATGGCATAGGCTATACTTGTTACTTGCTCACCTAGTTTCAATACTGT